ACGAGCCCAGTGCAGTAAGCCTGGTTTGCATCCCAGCTCTGCAGGTGACTCGCTTTTGTGACCTTGGGTGAGTCCCTGCCTTCCACAAGCATTGGCCTCCTCCTCCCTACAATGGGGGTGACAGTGACACCCACCACACACAGATGTGGCAAAGATGGCATGAGAGGTTTGTATAAAGCACCTCGTAAAATGCCTGGCACATAGTAGGTATGCAGGGAATGGTCGGTGCTATTATAATAAAATAAAACCCATGAGTCTGTGGCCTCCTCTCCCTGTGACCTGCCTGCCTTTGACCTTGGCTTAAGGAGGATTTCTGAGGGTTGATACTGATATGCCCAGTAATCTTAGCCATGGCTTTTCCTATGATCTAGATAAGGAGCAGATCTGGGCAGTTTTCCTTTATTTTCTAACCAGTCAGCCCTGCCCTGAGGGCCTCCTGAGTCCTTTATCAAACAAAATGAGATCTGTTTTCTCTGTGCAGTCAGTGTGTCTTGGCAGATGTGAGTCAGCATCCTGTTCAGAACGGCCTCTTGGTTCCTTGCCACGGACAATAAGGATGCACATTTTCCGTGGAATGCCAGATGTGGCGCTGACTTGGGGCTTCTACCCGCAGAGGAAACTCCAGGGGGCTGACTCTGTGGATTTGGATTCAACCATTATTTTAGACTGCAAGTCTTTATTTTAAAAATATGGCTGATGGTTTAAGGGACCCTCGACCCCGAGTTTTCTGCTTGAGCCCTGCAGTCAGCCGTGTTTTCCTTTGGCGTCCCTTGCCAGAGCCGTTGCTTCAGGTGACCGTCACTGAGAACAGGGGCTGGGTTTTCCGATGCCCTAGCTCATAGTGTGGGAAACGTTTTTGTAGTTAGCTGATATGATTAGCCATTTTCATTCAAGGAGTAAATGCTTAAAACCTTTATCATGCTATTTCCCATCAGGAGCCAAATAAATTGGTGTCTTAATTCCTCACCAGTCTTGAAAATCTGAACTTCTATTAGTTCTGAAAGATATTTTAAAAAATCTGCGTGGCTCACAGAATTTATCGCGTTCTCTCCCACATTCTGTGGGCTCCCCTACCCGCATCTCCCATTTCCCAGTGTGAGCCTTGGCTTAGATCACTTTGTGACTGTCCATATCAAGCACAAGGGGAGTGGGATGGGAAACGAAGCATTATTCAAGTTTGTTGTTTTTCTCTTTATGCTTCTGCTCCACCCATATGGTTTCTTTTCGCCCCGAGGCTCTTCCCCTTGGCAGACGCTTCCCTTGGCACGGCCCTGAGAGATGGGAAGGTACCAATCCAGAGAGGCCCAGCCTTGTCTGCTGGGCATCTGCATCCACCTTACGTTTATTCCATGGAAAGCCTTCCGGTGCTCTGGCACTCGTGGTGCATGTGTGGACAAGTGATTGTGCTGACGTCGCTGGCTGAGCGTTCAGTCCTCATCCTTCAGCTGCATCCTGGGCAGGAGCAGGGAGTAACCAGCTGACCCTCGCAGCTTCAACCCGCACTTAACTGTTTTCCTCAGGAATAAACTGTCTCACCAATTATGATCGCAGGTCGAGAGGAAGCAGCAGTGGTCTAAAGATAAGATGGTTAAATCCCACTGGCAGCTGTGTGCATTCTGGTGTTCCGACACAGGACGTGCCTTAAGAGGCTTGGACTAGGCAGCTGATCCTGAGCTCCGGGATTTTTCTCTCTTTCTGGTTCAATTTGAAACTTGCAGACAGTGGTATGGGAGAAATAGCTGACATAGCTGAGGTTCTCCGATGGGGAGGGGGCTTCCCCTGGCAGAAATAACCTCCACTTAATTTCTTGGTAGTTTCTGGCAGTAGCATTTGTGTAATGCAGTCAATCGTTCACTGGTAAGGGGTCCCAGCACGCTGGATGCTACAACACAGCAGGCTGTTTGCTTGGTAAATAATTTAGGTAAAATACACTTAGATCCCTTCAGGTGATAGTTGTCGCTGCCTCTTAGGTGAGATTCAGGTTAACCACCCGGGCTCTTTATGGGGATTTCCAATAATTGGATTGAATTCCGACTCTATTGGCCGGACGCTTACTGCTATGAACAGAAAGGTTCATTGTCTGATTGCTAAGAGTGGTTTCATTGACTCAGAGCATGGGACTGCACTGAAGTTTGTGGAGCGAGCTCTTTTCAGGTGTTATTTCTTAGCTGGATTGCTTGAACAAAGGAAAGCATTTCTTCTCCTAAAATTGTAGTTGACCTTGCACCCCAAAGAAGCAGTTGGTAGAAGCAACTTAACAGTCTTAGGCACACGCAGATTTCCAACGACGTTTCCAGTCCCCACCCATGCCTACCCATCTCTGTTGGTGATTCTCAAAGAATCACCAGGAAGCTGGTTGAAATATTACTTCCCAGGTCCAAAGGCCACGAGAGTCTTTCATTAGATCTCAGTGGGGCCCAGGGGGCTGTGTTTTTAGTAAGTGCTTCTTGTGAGTCTCATTCAGGTAGGCCCAGGACCACATGCTGACACAGATACAAACTTTGCATTTGTTTCCAAGGGAGAATAGTTTTTTTTATGGGTCAGTGTTCTTGGCATGCGTTCATGTTAGCGGCCTCAAAAGTGGTTTCAGGAAATACTCAAGTTGAGGTTAGAGAATATAATTGTATTTTGTTACTCTCCCGCATTTTCAGATTTGGGAAAGAAAATTGAGTATAAAGAAGTAACACGTTTATAAACAAGTGGTTTTCCTAATTAAAGTTAGAGCCCTAGAGTATTTAGAGAGGCAGCGAGCGAGCACGGAGGTGAACACACTTGGGAGGGTAAGCACGCATGCCCACGCACCCAGACACATTGGCTAAAGTAGCCTTGTAAACCTTAACGAGTCAGTGAGTAAATCTCTCCCACCCGTACCTCTTGGAAGCTAACAAAAAGTTAAAGCTGATTTCATGTGTTAGTGTGTCGTGGAAGCAGAACCGAAGGTCTTTGTTCAGTCCCTTCCTCATGCGGATGTAGACACTGAGACCCAGGAGGGCGGGTGCTTCCCCGGGTGACAGTGGCAGAGCTGGACCCAGTCTCGGAGCTTCCGCTCCCCCATCTGTGAACTGGGAAGAGACATAGGTGCCCCTGCTGGGTTGTTGTGAGGATTAGGGAAGATGATGTGTGCTGGGACGTCTTGTAAATGGAAGAGGATGATGTAAATACAGTTCCTAGCTGTCATGCAGTACTGTGTTTGATTCTAACTTAAGTATTTGGAACCATGCTAGGAATCTCATGTGGTGAAGTCACTAGTTGATTATGGATCAGTGATTATATGTCATTCATGGTGTACATTAAAAAAACAACTATGGAGTTTTATGCTCATTATGGTGAATTTGGAAACTACAGATAATCAAAAGGAAGAAAGTTTGAAATTATCTATAATCCTGCCACTCAGGTGATCACTATTACAGTTTCGATATAAAGGCGTCTACATGTTTTCTTATATGTGAGCTTGCATTTCACAATATTCAGGTTACACTGGGCGTACTGTTTTGCAACCTGTTTTTTTACTTAACGGTATATTGTGAACATTTTCCCACGTCGGTTAATACCTTACACCATCATATAAAATGTCCGTATAGTAACCCTTTATATAGTCAAAAACATTTAATCAATCTTTTATTAGACATTTTCCCCTTTATTTTTGATATTATATACAATGCTGAAATAAGCATATTTGAAACAATCTCATTGGGTTTCTGCCTTGATGCTGGCTACTCTGAAAATTGAAGTGAAAGGTATAAATCCTGCAGCTAAGGCAATTATCATACCGGTGTGAATTCACTTCAAAATGAGTATACAAATGCAAAAATAAATGTTATTTATTTTTATACCCAGAAATTCTAACTTTCTGCTTTTTGATCTTTCTAACACACTCGAGAGTTTAGAATCCCTTCTTTGCCGGTCTGCTCTTTGCCTCTGCCTCAGAGCATTACAGGTCTGACCTTTCTGTTGCTTTGAAATTCCTGATTTCCTTTAGGCCAGGCTGCTTGCAGTTTGCATGTGACCTTGTCAGCTCAGCCACTGTGCTGTCTCGCTCAAGAATTACCTACCCAGTTATGGCAAAGACTCTGCCTTTTATTAAACAAAGCTCATAATCAGTCAAGAGAGAGACCTTTCACTTTCTGAATTCTTAAAACCGTGCTTTCTTAAGTTAAATGGCATGTTAGGAGTATTTCTGATATAAAATTGGAAACTTCCAGATACCAGAAAGCATTGCTTATCTTTGTAAATACACATGTTCCAATTAAAACAGGTGCTAAACTATTTTGGTGGCACTTCAAAACTCCCCATTTAGATTTAATTTAGATTAAAACACTTACTCTTTTTAATAAAGTTATAAAATTGATTATTAAAATTGCCTATTGAAGATTAAAAGCAGTGGAACGTTTATTTTCCTTACAAAACAATTTAGTCTTCAGTAAGTATGATTGTATTAATCAATTATGCTATTAAAATACGACTGCCGTATTAAATCTGGCTCATTTGTCATGACAGTTTCTATAATTATAGAAATTATACCTAGCTGCTCATGTAGTCATAATCCTGCAATAAATGTAAATAATTGTCTCTATTAATTCAGGTTGCAGTTACTGTCTATTAAATCCCCAGTTAAATGGCAATTTGGGGACCTTCATTTAAAATCCTCCTAAATCTTTGTTGCTCCACCTGACTGCCAAGGCCCCACACATGCACCTCCTACTGTTGATGCCAGAAACCAATTTATGAATAAAATAGTTTTTTGTTGGTTTGTTTGGTTAATACAGATATTTAAAAGGTCTATTTAGGCTGGAGGTTTGAGGCTGTCAGGAAACAAACAAAAAAAGAGGGCATGCATGTTGGATGGAGGGTGCTGACAGAGAACACATCTCGGTGTCTTGGTATTTCAGTTTAGGGAACAGTACATATGTTTCAGGTTGAAGAGAAAGCGTAAAACCTATGTAATCCCAAAGGACCAGAGCGTGTGGGTGAGTAACTGTTCACAACTTGTGTCTCCGCAGGTGTGGATGAGGTCACCATCGTCAACATTTTGACCAACCGCAGCAATGAACAGAGACAGGACATTGCCTTTGCCTACCAGAGAAGGACCAAAAAGGTACAGCAGGTTCGGGGGGGAGGGCACTCCTTGTTGAATTCCAGTTCCTCTGCCATTGCTTTTTTTTTTCATGATTTCTGGCTCTTACCAGCAAGAAGCTTCTGGAACCCAAGGTCTCCGCCTTACATCCTTGTAAGAGTCACAGCTCACACCTACTTGGAGCTCGTCCATAAAGACCCACTCTCTTCCAACCCAGAGTGCGTGGAGGGAGCAGCTCTGGGTGAAGGAAGAAAGGAACAGGAGAGACAATGACAGGTGTCATTTACTCAGTGCTTACTTTGTGCCGGGCACGCTGTTCTCTGCGTGTTACCACTCACTTCATCTTGATGACTTCTGCTTGCTCTTGTGTTTAGTTTAATCTTGGGACACTAGCCTCCACTGAGAATTGATCCTGGCATGCTCCTGTCATTCTTAAAAAAAATACGCTTGAATTCTTAAGAGCTTTGCAGCTGACGGGCTTGGTTAATAGTTCATTTGGCTCCCCGGCTATCTTCAGCGCGCCACGCTCCCACCTTTAACGGCTCTTTGAGTGCTTTTCCCCTTGCTTGTCCACTCGTGGCTAAGGAGCAGCCCAGCACTGGTTCATCCTTTATTGTGTCACAGTGTTAGGGAATTTTATTTTTAAGAACAAGCGGCTTTATTTTTAACTTGCTATTAAAAGCTTTTGATTTATTCTTGGACGGTGCAGTGAGCGTGGCTTCCTGCAGCTCCCGTTTGACTTACGGCTTTCACTTGTAGTCACAGTGGAGGTGAGCTGGAAGGATTCTAGAAAAGGCGTTTCTGCCTGTGGGGTTGACACAACCACCAGGGTTCCGGGAGTTGCAGGTCAAGGCCTCCTGTAGCTCCCTCCCCCACCTCTCAAAATAGTTGCAAAAGACATCAGTGGGAAAGCATTTGGCTTCTTTCATCTCATGGGCATTAACATTCTTCTTCCAGCTAGACTCATATTAATCGGCAGTAGTGAGGCATGGAGGGGAGTGTTTTATTTCTCCCAGTTTCCCAAAGGGATCTGTGCGTGGGCAGAGAGCTGAGTTCCAGGGGGAGCAGAAGGCCCACCTCTTTGGACAGTGTGCCCATAATTGCTCCTTCAGCTGTCCCATACAGAGCGTGGTCTTGGAACATACTTGGGTGTGGACACAAGTGTACACAGAAACAGAGAAGCCCAGATCTTGATTGCAGATGAGACAGATGGAGCTCAGAGCTCTCACATACCCTGCTGGAGGGCAGATACTGCCACATCTTGATGGGTTTGGTGACCTCACAGCTTTGCTGTGGACTGGCTGGGGACCACTCACTGTCCTCCTGACTCTTGATGTGGCTAAGCAGAATGACCGTATTTAACAGAAAGATACAGAAACTGCTTGAGATCCTTTCTGAAGGAAATCTTGAAAGCAGAACCTTATTGTTTCCAACGAGTTGTTTGCATAATGAAGGAGAGAGCCCGTCTTGGAGAGTACTTTAACACTAGGGACTGGGGCTTACCACCAGATGAGGGCTTGAACCGCTTGGGCACAGCTAGGAGAGGTGGGAAGGAGCTGGGAGAGAGGATGGGTTTTACATTTCTTTCTTGTTGGAGCAGATGCCAGATGCCAGGTTTCTCGTACAGAAGGAAACATCCTCTGTATGTTTTATTTATCAAACATTTCGGGGCAGGGGGCAGGTGTAGCTCACTGGTAGTGGGTGTGCTTAGTGTGCACAGGGTCCTGGGTTCAATCCCCAGTACCTCCATTAAAAAAAAATAAACCTAATTCCCCCCCCCAAAAAAGTTAAAAAAACTTCTGGACTTTTTGCTAAGTGCAAAATCCTGTGCTTGACATGAGAAGCAGGAAGTTGAACGCCCATGGGGAGTTTATTATAGAAGCGGGAGAATTCGGTAGGTGCCCAGGTGCTATTTGAGGAGGTGAGCAAAGAATGGGCAGAGGACAGTGTCATGAGGAGGCCGAGTTTGGACTTACCTAACCTCAGAGTTCCACGTTGGGAAATTGGTGCTATACTTGGAAGGCGCTGCTTTTAGAGCCCCCTCCAGAGTGCTGTGTGTTCCTCAGACACCGGGAAGCAGGCGAAAGTAGGTGATGAGAGGGTTGGGCCAGGTGATTTCTGAGATCTGTCTCAGTCCTTGACATCTCTGAATGACTGGAGGGGATCATCCTCCCTGAGAAGGCTGCACATCACCTCTGAGAGCCTGCGAGTACTCTCGGGGCTAAACATCGCAGATACCATGGGTGCTGCTGGAAAGCAGGAGAGAAGAGGGAAGAAGTAAACAGAAAAAATGATTTCAACAGGAGAGTTCAGTCATTGCTCAGTGCCCATGATTTGTAGGAAATGTAATCCCCGACGAGGCGTCTGTGAAAGCCGCATTGAGTTGAGATATCTGTCTGCGTACGTGGGTGTGGACTCGGGCCGCTGACTTAAAATCTGTCTGTGGATTTGAATGGTGACCCTGGGAACCCTTAAGAAATAATTTGCAGCGGGGAGGTCAAGGGGTGAATGGGGGATTAGTCCCATTACAATTTGGTATGGAAAACAGATGTTCTGTCTGGCTTAGGTGAAGCGTTTTGCATAAGAAAGCTTCAGGAGCCCACTTCCAGCCATGCGGGGGGTCCTCTGGTTCCCTCTGGAGACTTTGAGGAACCACCCCAGCACAGCTGCACGAAATCTTTTAGAATATCAGCAGGTCACGAGCACTCTGCTTCCCTGGAAGCTTCCCGCTCTGAGCACCTCCTTCTTAGCAGGGGCCTTGACCGCACAAAGTGCCCTGCCTTCCCGAGGCTGTTACCAGGGGCAAGTGTAAGTGTACTGTAAAGTGCACTCACCCACAGCCCTCTGAGGCTGCCTACTTACGCTGCAGGTTTCTTCTAACGACTCGGGGGAGAAGGCAAAGTCAACTTGGGTTGTAAGGGCTTTTGTCCGGGCGAGGTCTGATCTCTCGGTTTCTGACGTTTGTGTCTGCGGAAGGGAGTGCAGGTGAGGGCTCCTGTGACCCAAGACCCCAGAGAGGTCAAAGAGCCACAACCCGAATTACAAACCCATCCCTCTCCTTTTGTCTTGCTCACCAGTTTTAAAGGGATTGTTGGTTATCAGCCACGTTTTCCATGTTCTCGCCTGTTTTTCTGAAGGAGCTTGCATCGGCGCTGAAGTCGGCCTTGTCCGGCCACCTGGAGACAGTGATTTTGGGCCTATTGAAAACACCTGCTCAGTATGACGCTTCCGAGCTAAAAGCCTCCATGAAGGTAAACACGTGTGGGATGCAATCTCTGTCAAATCTGCCATTAATATTTGTGAATTACAGCTTTCTGAGTGTAATTAGGTGATTTTCAGTTTTGTTGAATTCTCATTTAGAACTTTTTTTTTTGAATGAACTGAAGCTATAAGTCTCAGGATTTGTACCAAAAATATTTCAATTACTTTTTTTAAGACTGTAAAGAAATTTCATGATGCAGAGAAGTCAGTTACCAGCTGCTACTGCTTGGCACCTGGGCAATTGGAATACCATTTGGAAAAACGACTTCCTTGATTACACTTCCTCCTTAAAAAAGATGTGTTATGATATTAAGGCAAAAGTAAAACTCATAGCTTTTGTTAGGTGAAGTGTAACAAAATTCTTCCAGTGCTCTTTTGGGTGTTTCTTCTTCTGACCTTCTTAAGTCCCCTTGTACAACTGAGATTCGGTGAAAATCTGAACATCGCAGTGCATATAAAGGGTGATTTCAGATCGTGAGTGGTACCTGGGTTCAGTTCACAGTATCACAGCACATACTATCTTTTTTTCCTTTTACAAAGTTATTTTGAACATGGATTTTTAGGTTAAATTAAATAGTAAAAATTCCACGTTGGAAATTGCCCTGAATTTTATGCATACCTAAAACATAAAGTATTATATGAATGTAATAGATCCATAATAAATGCACGTTGCAGCAAAGCATAGAAGAACCCTTTTCATAGTGTGCCAGTGAGTTTGAATAATCTGACACTGCCCTCTGCTGGTAAAATTGGGTAAAGCTTCAGCATAGAGGGGAAAGCTGTTTTTTTATTATGAGCTGGAGTGTGTTTTCTGTGATGCCGCCATTTCTGAATTATGAAAAGACCAAGCTGTAAGCCTGTCACCAGAGCTAATGTCACAGTTCAGTTGTCATCCCTTCCCCCACATAGCATCTCAGGAGTCGGGCAGCTTCCCACCAGGCATTTCCAGGGCTCAGAAGTTGCTAGCTGAGGGCTGCTGAAAGATTTGCTCTGAAATCTCTTCCTTCAGTCTTCAGCTTAACCCAAGCTCTGCTCAGTTTATTTGAGCAGACTTGCTCTGAGTTTCCTAACTAGGCTGTATTGCAGGGAGGTATAATTAAGAATGATAAAATGTCTACAACACTTAATGATCCTGCTTGATAAAAAGAACCCTGAAAACAGTCTTGGGACCTCTGGAGCTCTGGATGCGCCGGTCTCTCCCAGGTTTCTTCTGACCATCATCACTTCGGATCAGTTTATCTGATTTTCGCCAAGAATCCATTTAATTGTGATTTGTGCAATTTTACTCGTATCTATTACTAGGTCTTAGTGACTTGAAACTGACCTGTTTGAGCGGTCCATCGCCACTGTAATCTGTGTACTTGGGCCCAATGAAAGGTGCTTTGACTGCTAAAGCTTTGACCTTGTGCCAGCTCTTCCATTAGCTGTCACAGCTGAGTACCCTTCTGAAATCCATAAAGCTTGGAGTGACATTAACTGAACTATGCTTTAAAAAACAAAATCTGTTTTGACTTCTGGCAATACCAGTGGCACTGTCTGCCATATGTTGCAGTAGATGTTGCCCTTGTGATCGGGATTGTGGACAGTCTGGAATGCTTGAGCCAAGTTCGAAATTGCCAAGGTCACCTTTAAATACAGAGGAAAAACACAGAATTCACCAGTATGAACACTGGTATGTCAGTGATGGAAGAAAACAAATCTTACACTGCTAATACCTATTTTAAATTCCAACTACCTCAGGATATAGCATTTCTTCCAATGCATGAGTTATCTTTAGACTGTATTTCTGTCATCCTTGAGATGGGAAGACTAGCCCCTAAAATATGTGAAGACGCTTGGTCGTCATTCTATTTGTATCGGAGCTTTTGCTAAGAAGAAAAGAGATTTTGGCTTTGCTAGCACGCCTAAAAATCATGATTAAAAACTGGGAGAAGAGGCTTTGGCTCATAGATTAGATGAAGAATAAAATTCAAAATTAACCATTAACCTGAGGCTTAACTTATATTATACAAACCGCTTTTTTAGGGGCATATAAACTCTAATAAGTTTTAATTAATAGCTGACACACTTTTCATGTGAATAAGTAAGTTTCTTATTGTATTAACACCTTATAATTGATTTACATTTTAAACAGTTGTAATTCTACTTAGTTCAAAGTGGTATTTCCATATTCGGGAAGACAAGTATTAGAGAATCCTGATTATTAAATCTTGACTTTGATCATGAGGCCAGCTTTGAAATGCATGTTTCATTGAGTCCTTTCAAGCTATCTGGCACGGCAGCTCAAAAGTGTATATATTAAATTTGAATACATCACCCATCAAATTCTTACTCCTTAATAAACTGTTGGTGTCTAGGTTTATTTGCCACTTCATTATTTCCTTTTGCTTCCCCAAAATGCCTGAAGAGTGCATAGTAATCAAGCAAAAATGGAAGTACAAGAATGAAAATTTTAACATTAACCCAATTTTACATTTCAAAGAGGTAAAGCTAAAAATGTTATCTTATCTATACCTTTCCCTTGGAAAAAGCTTACTCCAGTCTAATGATGCTGGCTGCAGATGACAGCCTAAAATCTCTATATTCCTTTATTTTAAATTACTGAGCAGAATTGTTTAACAAAGAACATTGTTTATCATCTATTAAAGTAATGGTTGATCATTAGAGAAGTTGAAAAATAAAGAAACATAGGAAGAAGATAGTTATTCATTTTATAAACCCATTACCAGAAGGCAACTGCTTTAAACATTTTGGTGTATTCCATTGCTGTCTCTTCCCATTTCACTATTTATAGATAGTGGAAAAAGATTTTTTAATATAGTTGAGCTAATAAAACACGTCAGTTAAACCATCTTACATTCCGGTGAAGTGTTTCCTAAAGGAACAGAATACACCTTTACCTTGCGCTGAGGAACGCAGTCCGATCCCTCAGGAGAAATGAAGGAAGGAGCGCTACAGAGCCAAACCGTGTGTGCAGTTTACCCGACTGAGGCAGAGAAGTGAGCTAGTGGCCAGGGCTGTCCTTGCTGACATCTGTGCTGCCTGGTTCGCAGGGTCTGGGGACTGATGAGGACTCCCTCATTGAGATCATCTGCTCAAGGACCAACCAGGAGCTGCAGGAAATCAACAGAGTCTACAAGGAAAGTGAGTAGCCCAGCTTCTGTGATGTGCCCTCTCGGCCTAGTTTCCATGATCCCCCCCCATCCTGGCTCCCTCGGCTGGTGTTCAGGATGGGGTGGGTTCCTGGATCACAGAGGCAGAAATGCCATCTGGACCATCCAGGGGTTTGCAGGGGCCAGGTCCCTCTCTTCCATCTCCTGACGGCCTGGGATTTGATGATTACATTCCACTGGAACTAACAGAAAGGATTGACAGGAGGAAAAGTACAGAAAATTCCTTTTTAAAAAAAAAAAGTTCTGATGGGAAGAAGTAGAAAGGTATCCTACAAGATACAAATTACTATATATAAAATAGATAAACAACAAGGTCCTACAGTACAGCACAGGGAACTATATTCAATATCTTGTAGTAACCTATAAAGAAAAAGAATCTGAAAAGGAACATTTATATGTAAAACTGAATCACTCTGCTGTACACCTGGAACTAACACAACACTGTAAATCAATTAAACTTCAATTAAAAATAAAAAGAAAGTATCCTACAAGGATTTCATGTGTTGGGTGCTGTCCACTTTCTGCCCAGGAGATCCCCAACTCTCCAATGTGGGTCACTGTTGCAAGAGGCACGTGGACCTCTGCGCCGAGCAGTGTTGGGGGAGTAAATGACGCAGCTTACGTGTGTACGTGTTACTACGTTTCCGTAGAGGTGCGATTTTGAATGATAAAGCGCCAATTCATTCAGAAGTATTTTCTAATTCTTACTAGTTTTTTCCATTGTGCGTTTTCTCAGTCAGTAGATTATAAAGCACAATTGTGTGTATGTGGTTAGTCCTCCAAATTTTTTGATGTTCCACCTAAGTATTTAGAGTTAAGAAGTTTGGGAACCAGTGTTGTAGCAACACAAAAGGTTACTGATCAAAAGTGAGCTTGAAGATCTGTGATCTGGTCCTGCTCTCAGTGTCCCTTGTCAGTGGTAATAACACTGGTTCTCATTTTATGGGGTAAAAATCATTCTCGAAAATCCACCCTCACTTGGGCAGGTATCTCCATGCTGCCACAGCTGTTCCTGCTTTTAGTGGGCTGGGGGTGGGCGGGATGGGTGGCTGGCTGGCTGCGCAGGCGGGAAGCCTAAAACCGGATGTGTTGTTTTCCAAGTGTACAAGACTGAGCTGGAGAAGGACATTATTTCCGACACATCTGGTGACTTCCGCAAGCTGATGGTTGCCCTCGCCAAGGTGGGTTTCAGGTTTATTTCTCTGTCCTTGCTTCCTCCTGAGGCAAGTTGTGTACCTCATTTTACTCTTGGGAACGAATTAACTCAGTCCTCTGTGCCTGCATCAGGAAGTCCAGCTGCATTTGTGACAGTGGGTTTGCAGTGTCCCTGCAGAGTTGTCATTTTTGTATAATAGGATTTCTTATCCTGCAAAACCGTATGGTCAGGTGGGCTTTGGGGCCGAAGGAGGTGGAGGCGACTCTCAACTCCTGGCCTGGATTTATGTGCCAGCCCTCGTCCCCTGGGACTTGGGGAAGGTCATCTTGCTCTATTTGTGGTCACAGGGGACCCACTGGGAGGTGACACTCTTGTTTCTTTCACCCGCTTTCACTTCTTTTGAGACGGTTTGGCCAGGTGACGGTTTGCATGGAGAGAAGGTCTTTGTTTGCTAATGTTGATATATTAATGCAGTGAAAGGCATTTCCTTTCTGTGTCTGAGTTCTGACCAGTGTGCAGTTTAATGCCTGTGAGCCCGGGGAGGGAAGAGGAATTTTCCCCGGGAACCCTGATGACAAGTGGTTGATTGGCACGGCATGCCCTGCCCACCCCCATCTCCACTACTGTCACAGCTGCATTCCGCCCTCCCAGCTCTGTTATCGTCCACGTGCCCTGCACACCGCCATCCACCCACACCGCCATCCACCCATCTTTCTGAAATCCACCTGCACCATTTTGCTCCCCTGGTCAAAACTCTTGTACTGCATCAACTCCAAACTCTCAGCTGCCTTTCAGAGTCCTCTGTACCCTGGCCCTCCCTAACTTAATCTCCCTCCCTAGAACTCCCTCCTGCTCACCTGGGCTTCAGCTGGGCAGCACCCCGCTCACCTGTTCTGTCCCTCCTGCGCGGGATGGCTCCCTCCTGCTGCCCCTTACTAGCCTCGTCGGACTCGCCCTTCTCCATTCACCTCAGCCATAGCCCGCTGTCCCCAGACTCCGCTGACGCTTCTCCCTGACAGATTTCTCTCTTCTTTTGCATTTCACGTCTACTTAGAGCTGTAGACACTGTGTTGTTTTACCATTTATCCCATGCTTATTTCTCCACCTGGACTGGAAACTCTCCGAGAGAAGGAACTTAAATATCATTACCTTTGTTTGAGGGGGAAGGGGGGTGGATTCTGTAAGGTGCTTAGCCC